GTCCCAGCAGTGTGTGTGTGTCTCTGTGTGTGTGACCTTGTCTCTTGTGCTGAATTTCACTTTGCCTTTCAAACCAGGTGGACAGGCCTGCTGGGGAGATTATTCAAATACCTCAAGGCCTAAAAAATAAAAAAAAACATGGTTTCAGCTGAAACCGCCTCGGTTTAATCCCTGCTTTGTTTAAAAGCTTATGAGAATCTAAACATTTTGACTCTTCTAACATTGTGCGTCAGCAGCAGTATGTTGTTTATTATGGCACAGTATGAGGACCAAAATTAGGACTAGTGCTCAACCTGCGGTTGCTACATCATAGCAGGAGGCTATATCTATTCCTATGCCAACTATTGATCTGATTATTGATAGRCTGAGAGGGCSGTGCTGGCAAACAAGAAGAAGACTTTTCATTTGCGTTTAGCATGGGAGAGGCAAGAAACTAGCATTACCGGTAATAAGATGGTGTTGGCACTGGAGAGGCAAGCGGCTAGCATGCCAAGGCTAGTGACCCACTGGATTGCCAACCACCTCTGCTGTCCATTGGCATGGATAAGCTGGCATTAGCATTGGAAAGGCTAGTGACTAGCATGGATAAGCTAGTGACCCATTGGATTGCCAAGCGCCTCTGCTGTTCATTGCCGTGGATAAGACTAGCGTGGATAAGCTGGCGTTAGYATTGGAGAGGCTAGCAACTAGCATGCCTAGATGATGAAAGGATGTAGCAATCGCTGGTTGCACAATAGTCCTAATTTTGGCCCTCATAGCTTGCCATACATTTAATGTCTTTAATATAAGGCCTGGAACAACTTGAATGAATGCACATCGCCTGCCGACTTTTAATGTCAGWGCTTCAGACTGAAACCAACTTGTGTTGAGAAATAACAGAGTTACAGTCGTTTTCATCAAAATTTTAAAATAAATTCAGGTATGAGCTGTGGAAGCCCTAGGACTATCAGCTACTAACTACACCTAACTTTAGCTCTGTATCTGTAAAAGTGGCTGAATTACAGACATTTTTGAGTTTAAGCTTTGCATAGCTGTGGCAGCTATCTTTGGATGAACTTTAAAAGTTAATCAGTTGTAGACAAAATTTTCAGTGATTATTTCCTAAAAAATTCATCTAATCTGTCCAGTGGTTAATGAGATATTTTGCTAACAAACAAACAAAGACACAAGTAAAAACTTCACCTTTGTCTTTCATCAGCAGGTGATAAATATGTAGTTTTAATATCCATACCAGACCTTGACTCAGCTGTTTCAGATCAGTCCGGGCTCATATTTAATTTTGTTATTAAAACTAAACTCACTGAACAAACAGAACCCCCAGAACTGGACCCAGAAATTTTAAAAAAAGAAAAATTAAAGAAAAAGCCCAAAACTTGAGGCGTTCACTCAACTAAATAAAATATTAAAATTTTTAAAAAGCAGTTAAAACTTCATCTGCAGATCAGTCTTCTTGACGTGGCGACGTTATCTGWGCTGTAAAACAGCCGAAGACATATTTTATAAATGACGAGTTTCCCACTCGCAGATTAAATCTGTCACGGTCTACTCTGTGTGTTAAGTGCCTCGAAGTGATGCATCTGTCGTTCAGAGCATCTTCAGCTGAGCTGCTTCCTGCCACTAAAGGTTCATTAGTGGACATTAGAAGCAGTCTCACATCGATACTGATGATAAATACATGCTGCTCAGGAGCCGCTCGCCTTCTGACCGGTCATCAGAGAGGAGGGTCAAYGCTGCAGAAAAATTACTTCAAGTGTTGCAAAAATTATCAGGTCATTTATCATTCTGACACACTTTGATGTAATTTATGGTTCCGTTATGATACTTTRAACAAAACAGAAATGATTTTGTTTCTGCTGAAGAGGATGGAAACAGGACTGTTTGATCTCCACTCAGGTTTCCTGTATTGATCAGGTGGTTCTTATTCTGCTCCTGATGAACGCAGAAATAAATAATGCAGGTTCTGTTTGCACAACAKTGAGTGACGGGAGAGGAGAGAGACGATGTAAACGGTTCAAACGACTGATTGATTCTCAAAACCATCAATCAGGTTAAGGACAGACTGATATTTGTTATAAAATATCAATTTTTGGGAGGATTTCACCAGCAGCAAAAAGAAGAAAAACTGATCAAGTTTACAAAAAAATGATTCAAGAGTTGTGCTACTTTTAGTAAATAAATCTAAAATAAATCAGGTTTTATCATCATCGGTTTAATGAGCAGCAAACTAAAAAGATTAATGATTCTAATTCAAGGTGTTTTATCTGATGATTCATTAAAACTAACAGATGCCATCCATCCATTTATCTGTCATCCATCATCCATCCATCCATTATCTGTCATCCATCATCCATCCATCCATTATCTGTCATCCATCATCCATCCATCCATTATCTGTCATCCATCATCCATCCATCCATCCATCCATTTATCTGTCATCCATCATCCATCCATTTATCTATCATCCATCCATCCATTTATCTATCATCCATCCATCCATTTACCTATCATCCATTCATCCATCCATCCATTTATCTATCATCCATCCATCCATCCATCCATTTGTCTATCATCCATCCATCCATTTATCTATCATCCATTCATCCATCCATCCATTTATCTTTCATCCATCCAGCCATCCATCCATCCAACCATCCATCCATTTATCTATCATCCATCCATCCATTTATCTATCATTCATCCAGCCATACATTCATCCATCCATCCATCCATTTATCTCTCATCCATCCAGCAATCATCCATCCATTCATTTATCTATCATCCATCCATCCATCCATCCATTTATCTATCATCCATCGACCCATCTGTCTATCCATACATCTATCCGTTTATTCAGTCATTCATTCATCTATAATTCATCAAACTGTCCACTTAATTATGCATCCATCCATCCACCCATCATCCATCCACCCATCATCCATCCACCCATTATCCATCCATCTATCCCTACAAATGTCTTCCATGTTTCCATAGTCTGGCCACAAATGTAAGAGATGATGTTGTTAGCGTTAGAGTTAGTGCTGGTTAGTTAGGATTAAGTTTAATTAGTGTTAGTTTCAGCTAGATTAGTTATAGTCAGTTAAGTTGGTGTTAGGGTTAGTTAGTTAGTTAGTGTTAGTTTTAGTTATAGTTAGTTAGTTAGTGTTAGTTTTAGTTATAGTTAGTTAGTTAGTTAGTGTTAAGGTTAGTTGGTTAGTTAGAGTTGGTTAGTGTTACGTTTAGTTAAATACAGCAGGTTGTCAGTTAGCAGTACTGTTGTAAAGATAAACCCAAACATGGATTAAAGTTTGATTAAATGTTAAGTCTTACCTTCTACCAGCTCATCCATACTGGTGATCTTCTTGCTGCCATCTATAGTGTAGATGGTACGAACCCCTTGTGGCAGATGTAGGTTGTCTGCTAGAGACTTGGTGAGCTCCATCAGCAGGGCATCGTAGGACCGGAACCGGTCACTGGAGACTGCATAGACCAGGCCCTTAAAGTACCGATCCCCGTTACGATAAAACCGGACCTTTTTGGCCCGTCTCTCGGAGGTGAGGGCCTGCAGGGTCCTGGTCCGGTAGTAGCTGCAGTTGGCGCTGTGAGCAGGACTGGGAACAAGGCTGCTGCCCCTGGAACTGGGACCGGACCCCCCACCGCTGCCGGTGGAGTCATCCCTCTTAGCTCGGGGGGTTCGTCCTCTGCGAACCTTGTTTCGTTCGTCGAAGTGCTCCAACTCGAGGGTCTTACTCAGAGACATGTTGAACGGAGGTCCGGTATCTTTCAGAAGGGTTTGTTGAAGGGAGGACTCACATTCCAGTTTAGACCTGGTTGTGGAGTCCAGAACCAGCTGAAGAGGAACTCGGGTTGGTGTTCAAGGGGTCCACATACTAGTAAAGAGTTTAGTACCAACRAATAATCGATCCATTCAAAGTTCACCTAAAGTCCTTGAAAGCTCCAGTTGTGGACTCTGACCCTATATGATKAAYTGATTGTAGTCCATTGAAGCCTCTTCAAGGTTCAATTTAAATATAATTACGMCGGTGTTTAAGGAATACCTTTATACTGAGGTATACAAATGGTTTCAAAATGCTTTCTTTTCAGGAAGAAACAAAGAATGATTGATTGGTGCTCCAGTCCAGAGACATCCAGCTCTGTCAGAACCAGGTCTTTGGAAGTATTTTATCTCTCCTGAGGCGAGTTAATCTATCTGTGACCATCATTGTTCAGCTCAGCCCTGCAGTGACTTTACTGCAGTCTCAGTAACCCTACCATAACCTCAGCTGTCTGCCTGCCAGTGAAAGGCATTGTTGAGTGGCAAACCGGCTCAAAGTCAATGGACCGTAATCCTACTGATCYGGACCGTTTTGGGTCGTTCCGTCTTGCCCGCAGTTTAATCTCCCAGGGTCCTCGGCGTTCCCGCCGTCCCTGACAAGAAAAAGAGATGACATTCACATGGTTTGGTGGTGGGACAGATCTCAGCACAGATGACACAACTGGACCAGTCAGCCTCTGATGCAGCTCTGATTAAATTAAACTCTCCAAACATGCAGGTTTTTAATTTGATGCAACACATCAGGTGCTTTTATCCATTTTAGGAGATTTTCCTGCAATGACAGAGATGTAGGCTACATAACAGTTAAATTAAATATACCTGAAGCTTTACAAGAAGAAATGATGAGATAAATCTAAAACCATGAACTCATCATMCAGGAGCGGAGTTCATCCATCAATCCGCCCTAATCTGAGCTGACGTTCACTGACAGGGAGGTACCCACCAATAATGCCGTGAAACCGGTCTGTTGCTAAGGAGCCTTTCTCCTCTTCCTCCCCCCGGTTCCGTGTTTGGATCCGGACTGTGTCGAACTCGCTACCGCCGGGGCTCTCGGGACCGTGCCGCTGAGTTAACCCGGGTTTCTGCGACGCTGCAGCGGCGGCGTGCTCCGGCCGCGGAGGAGCGGGATGCGCGGAGAAAGGCGGCGGGGAGCAGCAGCAGCATGGCCGCTGCAGCAGAGAGGAGACACCGGCTGAACACCCCCGCCCTCCCCCGGTCCTGCCCGGCCTCCTCCTCCTCCTCCTCCTCCTCTCATCTTTTGTCTCACGTCTTCCTGTCTTCTGCCTGCTTCTCCTTAAAGCTCAAATTTAAGATATAAAATATTTAAAACTGTTTATATTTGTTAAACACAACATAGTGAATCCTAAAAAACCTGTTTATGTTAAATCATATGTGTTAAATATGATAAATATCATATTTAACC